GGGTTGACTTGGTGCTAATTACCCAGCATGCTCTCTGTTCTGTGGTTAATTGTCCAGGTCCTCGCTTTCCTTTCGATGGGGCGTAACATAAGGGGAAGGTGGGGTACGTTTAAAAAACAGGTCCTGTCTTCTTCTCCTGGTGCAGAGCCGTCTTTCTCCTCACTTGTTGCACCGTAGGGATGCAAATTTACAGGACAAGCTCATGAAACAAAATTCACATCAATTTGTGCCACCCACATGTGGCTGCTTGGCTCTAAGTCTCTGTGTAAATGTTTGGCAGTGTGTGATTTTGTTTATTTTGAATATTTGTGTTGAATGCCTAAGACGCGATGACAGTGAGGGGAATGGCGGCTGGGAGGTAGGGGTAGAAGGGTGGTAGAGTCTCTGTAAGCTTTCTCTAATTATGTGTGGCATTTGCATACTGGACCACTGTCAAAAAACATAAATAAATCACACACAGATGCACAAACACTCATAAATACACAATCCACCCCAGCCTAATGATACAGAGCTGTGATTGCTGGCTGCCTGCTATGATAGAACCCCTCCATCGCCGTCCACAACATAAATCAATGTCAATTACCTCCCCAGAGCACATTAGACACTTTCCATTCCTGCTCGTAATTAGTGCGGACCGTAGACATATTCCCATCCCACACAGGCTCGCAGAGCGTCGTCTGCAGACAAACAACAAAGCCTTGGACTGAAACGATTTCACTGGGCGAGTTCAAATGCATAGCCGCACATCAAAAATTGCATGCAATGTGTCGTGCAGAATGCAAGCGGCTCATCGGCTCGTGGCCGCACATTAGGAGCGGTGTAATTAATTAGCGCCGGCCTTGCCATCGCAGAGTGCTTCAATGGCTGTGGAAAGGAGTTCAAGCAGGCACACGCTGCTTGACCTTGAAAAAAAAAAAAAAAAAAACAGGTGTGTATTGCACACAACCATATGTATTCCTGCAGATCTGAATGTTGCATGCCTAATAAAAAGGAAGGGTGTTGTGGCTAAGGGTGAGCTTTCCTTACATTTCACCCTGTCATCTTCTTTCTGGTCTGTTTTGGCCCTCCTGCCTCTTTTTTCTGTACAATGCAAAACACCTGACAGGTAAATGGGGGAGGAAGGAGGGAGAATAAGGATCCAGAGGGACAGCAATCCAACAATCAGGTGTATAAAATGTAGAAATAGAGAGAGAGAATGGGGACAAACTCCAACTGACTGAATAATTGATAGAAAAAGTGAAACAATTCTCCAAAAAAAGAAAACAACTTCATGCTTGGAGCCCATTACCTGTTTATAGACAAAAGGAAACACACTGTTATGGAAACTGAATGATTAAAGGCATCAAAATGATGGGGGCAGACCTCAAAGCACAGTTACGCTCTGCTTTCCTTCCTCTTAAAGGACACCAAATACTCACAATAGTAGTGACAGTGGGTCGTATTAGTGAGAGGACAGCCCTGACAGACATCTATGCAGACATGAGTCACATTTCTGGACTGGAGGCGGAGAAGAGTGACAAATCTAGTGGATGGAAGAAAAAAACTGATAGCCCTCATAACTCACTCTAGTCATGAGTCTGTCTTTTACCAAGAGTGAGTAAAGAAGTCTAGTGTTTCGTACTTTTTGGGGATTTTATCCCAAAGCAAGTAAAATTTAAATTAAATCCTTCTTCATCATATTCTGCCACTTAGAGGTAGTAATTTCTATAATTAGGGACCTAATCAGGGCATTTTTAAATGATTAATTTATAGCCTGAATTAATCTAAAACCAACCCCCTTCGTACCTGTAGTTAATCTACGCTTTGGGGTTTTGAGAGCTGCAGCCTCAGTAAGTCAGTCTGTTGAATTTAAAAACAGGCTTTAAAGTGCATTGTTTGGAAAAATTCTATTCTATTCAGTTTATTTCTATAGC